ACATATTGTACTCCGTCTAACGGAATCGTGTGGCAGAACGTTTGAGCAAATTTGTATATTCACGGCCTCAGCCGACAAGACGTGGGCCCGTACACTAATAGAAGACGGTATATATATCATACTCAGTGATCAACAACCCATCCTGACGCTCCGTATCTAGAAACCGCGAAATTAATTCCTATCCTGGCGGTGACGCTAAATGAAACAAAAGGGGAATTTTTTATTCCCAATCTTTAAAATCAATTTTTCTAATTTTTACTTTGCCGGCATTATGCAAATATGATAAATTAGGGCTTTTTGGCAAAATTTAACGAGCAGAATTTTACAAACCGATCGACTAGCAGGACTTCCCTGCGAACACTTATCTTCATTGTACAATATCCATTAGGAGTTACCCGCCAAAATTAATACATCAGGTCATAAAACTGGCGGTAGATACCTCTATTACTGCCCTTCTTGTTTCCACCCAATCATCAACAAGTCCGGTCGTAAGGATAAGGAGGACAAAGTATTTAGAGCTGCCATGGGAGCCTCGAGCCATGCTAAAATTTTGCAGAGGGGATAAATTGTAAGCAAAAGCTTAAAAAACCAAATCTAAACCCACGATACTCGGCGGGTAAAAACGTTCGTTGTAGCGATAAATATGTCTTTGTCTAACTTCGATTGGAAAATATAAAGTTCAATTTAATATGCAAAGGTACAGCTGATACGTTTTGTCTGGTGTAAAAGCATTTTTTCAATCATTTGGTAGATTTAAAATAGTGCAAAATGATAATAGCAGCGGCTATATATTTAAAGTTGCATTGGGTGGCTATAAACGCACCACCCCTCATTAATATCGGGAGACTCAGTCTTAAGTTCGGGTTATAAATATTGGATTTTGAAAGAGTATAAACGGACTCGATTCTAGTATCAGCTTAGGATTAACAAATCAAACATTCTACGGCGAGTAGCTGTTGTTATGAGAGGCGGTCCTCCTCAAAATATGGTGTGTATCCAAAACTGAATCCGTTCTTGTGCAATTTAACTACGTTATTCATATTAGTTTCGCGATTCCTTTTAGACCTCGAGGGTTAGAGGTCCTAGTCGGACGATACCAGGTATTGTTTTGGTGCGATATTATTATTCACGCCTATCTCTTTGATGCACAAGGCCTTGCGCATAGAGTTTGGAGCGGCATAGGAGGAAAATCAGAGAACACTAGAAATTAAGCGTCTAACGAAGCTGCTTAAATTTTCCAAAAATATTACTTTAAGTGTGCTTGCGAAACCCACACGCAGATTAAGTGAATTCAAATGACCTTCCTGGACTCTGATCTATTTATTAAACTGGTCACATCAGAGTTAAAAACGACCGACCTTGTACAGCATGGATCGGACTTTCGTCCCTGTACGTCGACGACACGTTTCCATAACCTTCTTAGTCTAATCCTCACCGATATACGATAAATGGGAAAATAAGAAAAGAAACATCAAATATCGATGACATGCCCGTGGGACGAAGACTTAGCGGTAAAATTAAACAGCAGTTTACATCCGGTCAGAGAACATCAAAATGTATCTTTTTAAAAACAGCCATTCGGTGGCTCACAAGCTAGTCTGTGTGAGGACACTCTCCAAACCTGCACGAACTCACTGCAGGTATTTGAAAGAAAAACGCAAGAGACCCGAAAAGTCTGCAACCAATTTTTTTAACATGGACATTCGAAGGCGTTTATAATCCGATACGTACATGCTTGGCCCGAAGAATTATAAGACATACACCAAGAAGGATGCAGTATGCTCTGTGTTACATTAAAGGCAATTCGGAGGCGGCCCAGCGCATTGCTGTTGGACTAAGTGTTGGAATTTTACAATGGCTTTAAGCTAACATGCCGAGCAGGCGCACGGAAATCAAGCACCGATTGAATACCAGAAGGAAGCTTAGGCTAGTGTATCGTATCCCGTATCTAAAAAGACCTTGTAATTACGTAATTTGAACTATGTACATGCTCGGATCACACATGAACGGACAAAAGTTGTCTATACTCTTGAGGGGGAGGGGCAAGTGATTATAAACGGCTGTTTAATGTGGCTAAGTCACAAGTTCAGTTTTGCAGATACAAAAATAACTGCTTACACCGGGAGAAAGACGAGCCGAAAATTTATTAAAGGGTGGCCCCGCATGAGAGCACAACCAATCGAAGCATCGATTTAGCACTTATATTCAAAGCTCTTCGTAATCTTCACTATATCTGCGACAGACATCGTTGATAAACTTTTACCACCTTTTATTACCATTTGTTCTGGTGCTGCTGACATCTCTGACAACGGACTCTTACGGGTTTAAAGGTTCTGCAAAATAGGCAAATACCTTCGGCGCTCAATTAGTCCTCGCTATCCTAACTTTATGCTATTGCTCATTAGTAGCAGTATACTTGTATCTTCCTATTAATTATTTAAAAGCACTGTTTCGGGTTATACTAGCTAATCTTAAAATTTGTTGACACATTTTTATTCGCTGTATGAAACAACAATTTTCCAGCCAGGAATATGTTTACATCTGAACTTTTAAGTGAAAATATGACGTTTTTTTTGTTGCCAACTGGAAAGCTGAGAATGCCTTGGAAATCAAACTAGAGCAAATGTGCTCGAGCCTGAATTTTCGTAATTTATGATATTTGAGCATACAATTTTGCATAAGGTGTTAGGTTACGTTTCATTTAAGAAGATCGTAAATGGTTTCTTCGCCGCATACGTTCTTCGAACCAGTTCCTGTTCTCCATGACTGCTAGACCTTTTTTGTCAAATTTAGAAACGCCAAAGATATTGGTGCAGATGTATGTCGAAAATGCCTAATATACTAGAAAACCGTAGATTAATTTAATAGCCTTCACTCAAACTTTCTTAAGTTTTAGAAATCTGAGTACTATCAGTGACAATATACATGGATTTAGACAGGTTAACACATAAGCCACAAGACAGGTGCCCCTCGCTGTACTTCATGATTCTCTGTGTGTAGGCAGACTTATACAGAGTTCAAAACTATGGATGTACATGGAATACAAAAGCAAACTCCTCTACAGTTTGAATTTCATTTTTTACACCTCGCATAAAGCTTACAGAAAAGTGGACTGCGTAAAAGGGAAGCATCGAATATTACCAAATATACCTACGTTAGACACAATGTTGACTTTAGTTTAAAAATAGTTTTTTAAAACAACAGTATATCTTAGATAAACTGACAGCCAATACCTTTTCAATTACCTACTAAACTCAGACGCAGTGAAAACGACCAATTTGATATCCTTTAGCAAACATCAGCATAGTATTTTTGTGCAAACAATATTTGTTTTGAGCTCCAGAGTAGAGATGAGCTGCCGCATTCCCTAGACACCACGGTTAGATACTCCAACAAACGCAAAATTAGGGTTATTTTATGTACGTCGTTTAAACCTCCTAGGCTTGCATGCAAAAAAATCGCATTTTCAGAGAAACCCTCGTAGATGTAAATTGTTACCAACAATAGAAACACGATGTTTTATAAATTTTTAAATAAAACGGACGTTTTTTCATTTTGCGAAAAAATTTACTACAAGTAGGACGAAAACAGAAAGTCGTCCCGAAAGAGCTATCAAAAGATAGGATAAACATTACTGAAATTATTTTAGAATACAGACTAATCATTGAAGCATTAAGAGGAACCTAGGACGGAGAAAAAGCGCACATATGGTTACTTACTCGTTTACTAGTTTAATCAGAGGTGAAAAGTTTGGTGGAGCCGTTCCTCGAACATCAGAAGCGACGCGGTTATATGCGGCCAAAACACCTGCGACGCCTTTGCAACTTGGATTGTTTGGGTCACCTGTCTAAAATACAATTCTTTAGTCACATATAATTTTTAACCGCTGTGTGAAGGATAAACATAAATTATGCCTTAACAACTACAGTTTGTTCAGGGTATAATTTTCCTTTAAATTTTACTAAAAACCAGTGTCTACCCTAAAGAGTACTCTACACAAAGCATGTGACGTATCACAAAAGTTAGTTTGACCAAAATCCGTCTGATTAGTAGAACTATACATGCAGTTTTACGTTTAATGATCATTTTACATTTGTCAAAAATTAGGCTGTCCGACAAAATCTCACCTATGCGATAATGTCTTATTATTTACTTAGTCTTCAGAGGCGGTTGGACCAGTCATGTGAAATAGTAACGATAACCTGACTTCAAGGAACCAATAAGAAACTTAAAAGAACGTCGACTACTGAAGGCTCGAATGGATATCAAACGCAAATAGCGGCCTGTGCAGTGAGTAATTTCATACCTTATCAACAGTAAAATTTCCATCTTTGGTGTATAAAACATATTCTGCAGAAAACATCTACTAAACCCGGACAAACGTCACAAATTTAGGAGATAACGCCCTTTTATAACGCCCAAAATAGCGCATAGGCTTAAGCACCCATAGGGAGGAAATCGAAATTTTAACTATACCCGTCCTATTCGCTTGAGGTCTCTAAAAAATTGTATTTCCAATTAATGGCCTCAGCTTCTTTTCTTTTGACCAACATTCCAGGTATCAGAATGAATAAGTGAAAGGTAAAAAAGAATCGATAACTTTGAAAATACACTTGGTTTTGTGTTCCGTAATGAGCGGTCTAGCCGTGTTTGCCTCAGACATCTCGGTATACCACATGCGCAGTTACATTCAGTAGAGTTCAGGAATGTTGAAACTGTTTGTGTTTTCCTTAACTAATTCGACTTATATACCTGCTTGCCTTATGTTTTCCTATTATTCGGTTCAATAACCCCATCCACAACGCATCACTGCTTTTATTTTTCGTTAGAAAATTAATCCCTAACTGATAAATAGTTAACAAATCTGGATATGTCTCCCTTTTGGGCGATGCTATTATGTTAAAGTCATAAAACAGTCCAGATTTTGAGAGCGGCTCATCGCCACAAGGACTTTATCAAAAGAGTTAATTGCATATCATAAGGTAGGTCGTGAACTCTAAAGATGAGTTGCATATATGATAATGATGGTCGTAACTGCTGAGATATGAAAATGTATACCCATCGACAGAGGAAAACACCCTGGTTTTTATCTCAGCCTTTAATTGAAAAAGACGAAATTTACATAAAATACGCCGACAAATCAAGACCTAATTGCCAGTAGAGGTCGGTAAGCGATATAACATTTTAAACATTACTCTATGCTAATGGCGTTTTAAAAGAAAATAAAATTGTCCAACTGAGTATTTCAGTTAGTTCAGCTGTGACCAATTTTTGTTTAATTATAATAACTAGCGTATATTAACGTCAGAAGTAAGTTTACTTAGGAGTCGCTTGTGTTTATGACCATTTTTTAAATTAGAAAGTTCGCGGTGGTGCTGGTTTTTGGAAGCGCCTTCCGAAAGATGCTGAAATATATGGAGCTGCCAAACATAGACGCTAAAATCTGACCGCCTTCGTGATGGGTCTTAATGAGTCCATTCGCTACTGTTAAAATGAATGTTCAAACCAATCACTTAAGTATTTAGCATGCTCATAAGTAATTAGCATCATTATTCGATGTTAAGTACAGTACGTGACCTATCTCATGAAATCTGAAAACGGAAACTGAGGAAAGGATTTCTGGACGACTTTAACGTTGAGCATTTTGTTCGCTCATCCACTTCCTTCAATAAAATCCCCTTTTCTTGTGCAGAAATTGTGTTTAAGTAATTATATTAAGTAAAGTATCAGCAAATTTGAGCGACAATAGAGGTTGAAATATATTCGTACCATTTCCTATGCTAATACAGGTCTTAGACCCCGGTTACGCATCGCAGCGACTTTTTCATTGATAGGATAGTAATTTACCCGCGAGAGTTTTCATAAATAGATTTAGCCGATCTTGAAATTTAGTTTTAAGTCCGATGCTAACCATGTTGATCAACCTGATAACACAAAGGTTGTTTTAAGAAAACCAGAGGTTTTGTCAATTTCTAAATGTCAAATCAACAGATCTGTGCGATTTGGTGCCCTAAAGTGCAGTAATAGCGCAGATAGGGATTCGTTCGTTTAAGTGGGATGGAATTTTTTTGTCGTTTGAAAAATTCTACCTGATGTTACATAGATGACCACCGCCGAATAGTCATTTCCAGGTCTGAACATATGAAACACTACTTGTCGTGTAGTTTAGCTTCTGTGCATATCTCATTCAGAAATAGAACGAGCAAAACATTTATAGCCTCAGCAAAATATGGGTATTTATATGGCCGCCCTGCCGTGCATATATAATCGAAGAACTGAGCCTAAAAGCGAGCAAAAACAGTGGGAATGGCCTCAATGCATAGAGAAATGGACGCTCTTAAGTTTACGGTAGAAAAATATAAGTATTGCTTAGGGACGCGAAAGGAACCGTCAAAAGTGTCAAATTTATACTTGGCCTCGCCGTGCAAAAATGCAAAGTACACAGAGATCCGTCAACGGAGTGCAGTAATCAAGCACTTCTTGAGGAGGTAATGCTATGGAGAGTGAAAACGGCGTAGAGCAACGGCCTAAGGCGCTAAACAGGGGACCAAGCCGGCGACGTGAGTCACGCGTGAAGTTAGACGACCGACCGGCGCGCACTGCAGCGCCGAGCGAGCGTGGTGGCTTTGCTCACGTGTGCGGCTCAATGGCTGGTCGAACAATCCAGGCATTTCCGCGGGGGGCTATCGCGCACGCAGTGGCCAATCAGCGACCAGCACGCCCGGGGCAGGAACATTCTAGAGCGCCCTCAACGGCTGGCACGTCATTGGACGGAATGTTCCAGAACGCACGGGGACCAATATAAACAGCACACCTTTCTGACGAGTTGTAACCCCCTCCTGTCCACAAGTTCCAATAAAGTGCTTGTCCTCCGAACCGGCTCTCTTCCTGTACTACCTTCCTTCCGGGTCATAGCAGGTAAATTATGATGGAAATTTTTTTTATTGATAAAAGGCACATTCTTTGCTGACTTTCGTTGTCGACAGACATCTTTCTCGAAAGGGCAGTTTGATGTTTGAACGAGTCTTCACATGTGGCCAGTACGACCGTCTTTGTGAAAAGGAGAGCCCGAACACTCACTAATTTGGTAAATGTCTTCAAGAGTAATTTTATTTTATAGTTCTCAACAGACAGATAATTCAGAATCTCTCTTTACGGACGATCGGGCGAAAACACTGAAAATCATGAAGTATTCAGCAACATTTCAAGGCCGGCATGAAACTTAACATAATCCAAAACAAACGAGAAGTTTCTCGGAAGAACAGTTCTTTCTATAAACACAAAATGGTATGGAAGAGAATATGCGCATCCCAGGTTCTTGTTTAAATGAAGACGGAGGTACGATCGCTGAGACGGTAGATTTATTTGCCTGAGCTTTCGAACTCGAACTGTTCGAGTTCGAAAGCTCAGGCAAATAAATCTACCGTCCCAGTGATCGTACCTCCGTCTTCTTTTAAACAAAATGGTATGCTTACGACCACGCTTGTTAGTTCTATTTAAATTAAGTAGGCACTAACCGGCCTCATGGCATGTAACCTTATGAAAACTTTTGATCCTACGACGTTCCCATCGTAAACTCAAGCAAAATCCAGCTTCTCTTGTTGAACTCCATCTAATTTACTTCCAAGAAATAAAAACAAGAGGACTCACTGGAAAACTGGTTTGGAATCTATTCTCACAATGTAGACAGCTGACATACTATCATATATGAAATCTCACTACTTATTAGACGAGATTTAGATATAAACTTTATTATACCACTGTTATTAGACGTTATTTTATGTCTGATTTCATATTTACTACGTTTGCTATGAGACTACATTCTATACATCTAAAAAGGAACTTTACTTAACTGACGTTTTCGGAATATTGCGCTTTTTAAAATAAATCGGTTTATTTAAATAACGCAACAGTGCCTTTAACAATTCTTTTATGTTTTTAATTCTTTTAAACTTGTAGTGAATTAACATAGAAGTCGGACTCATGAAATGGTGTCGGTTTGCGAGTGATTGTTATTCATTCGTAAATTTCGACACATTTAATGAGTTAGGCCACTAACTGTACAGTGAGAGTGGTATCCACGGCTGATAATGACATTTAAATAAGCGTTATTTTGGTTTTGCTGGAGAGAGCAACAGCAGTATGGACGAAACTCAGTGCCTCCAGTCAATTTCATACTTAATAACAGAAGCACGGTATATTTATATTCTGATGAAAGAAGTTGGATAAAAACGCACCCTGAATACAAAATCAGTTAGCATCTAAATGTCGCAAGCGACATGGAAGTTAATCGATCCGAAGTGCGGAAGTGACGAATTATGTCTGCCAAAGTAGTGATTTTAGAACCCATTAATCGAAATAATTGAAGATCCCTGAGACATGGCTCCTAGGGTGGGCTTCAAACATGTAGGGGACATTTCGTTTGACTCCTGCTAAGTAACTGCAGCATGTTTCTTTCCACTACCAAATATAAATAGTGATAAAACCCGAATGCATGACAGATTTAACACATCTTGCATGTGTGGTAAATACGCGAAAGTTCATCTTGGCAAGCGAAATATCAAAAAATCGTGCTTTGTCCAAAAAATTTGTCTCACTCACAGTAATGCGTCTATGCTTTCTCGGTTACGCAAGGGCGCGTTTGTTTAGAGCCACTTCCATGATTCATGGCAAAACATTATTCACATTTTTTCAATATTTTGTTTACTTGATATTCAGGGAGTGCAAAACACATTAATATTATGCCAAGGACATAAATTGCAGTGCTCTGTTGGACTTACTAATGGGAATGTGTGCGTGATTTTCCCCTCAGGAGCCGCACGGATTCCAAATCCATAGGCGGGAAATAATTCATCACTGAAGAGGATGTAGTAGAGAGATGAAATAGGTGATTAGGAATCACAAAATAGCGTGTACTCATAATGCATTCGGACAGAGTACTTGTCTTGAATGGTTTTGCATGTGTTTAGTCAACTGCAAGTAACCAGCACTTATGCAGCATTTACGAAGCAGGAAATAGGGAAAATCTTGATTCCTACCAAGCAAACGCTCCAGTGTGCTTAAAGAGTATTTTTTGTAAGCGAAAAATAAAAAATCACAATTAAAACGAAATGCGAAAAGTTCAAGCACTCGGTTTCTAAACCTATGAAAATATGCGGGTCGCATTACTTTACAGGTGAACATGCGTCCTAAATAATAACACATAGTGTGCAGTTGTTAGATAGCAACTCTGTAGAACTCAGAAGAACTCTGTAGGGGGTGCTATGTTGGCATTGTTACCCTCTCTATGTAGACCTATTTGGGGTGAACAATCAGCTTCGTCACCGACTTCAACGAACAAAATTTACAAACCCGCCTCTAACGGATATGAATGGTAAAGTAGGCATGACTCTAAAGCTACCTCTTTTTAGCAGGATAATTTGAATTAATTGCCAGCGGCACAAAAACAGCTTCCACTTGTGCTGTTTTTGAGTCGTATTTCAATTTTAACTGAATGATTACTGAGGACATATAGACCAGTCGGTAAATAAAAAAGACCGCTTTTTCAAAAGTAGGATAGATATTTTCATTATAACCGCCTATGAGGTAATTAACATAATAGGTCCTTTTTGAGAATATCGAAAACTGCACCTGTCATATTCTTGAAGAATTTCAATCACGGCTTGAATTGCGATGGCGTACTCGCTGCACGTAACAGCGGACTTAGCCGCCGCCAATGCGTCTGAAAACAAATGTGCATTGTGGCCTGTGGGAGGCACGTGGGAGGAAAGGTCCACTCCAACGACAACGTTGATGCTAGTGCTAAACAGACATAATGTTTTACAAATACTCCACCGTTCATAATACTGAATAAGTTATTTTACTTTGTTACTGTTTTAGTCCGTGTAAAAATACATGTTTTGGCTCGGCCTAAGTCTCTATTTGGTAAATGTTTTATTCAGTATAGTAAATGTACTTTAAAGGCCTTGCAAAATTTAGATGCTTATTTGAATGTTTTGAGCGCTTCTAGAGTTAATTATTATAGAAAATAGGATTAATGACAAAATACCGCATAATATTATCATATAAAATAACAAACTTATAGACCATAAAACCGTCAAAACAAAAACTGTTGCGTAATAAAAAGAGTAAAATGCGATAATGACGATAAATTTTTGTCAAAAAGCTAGCTAAATCTCAATTAGAAGTGAAGCATTGTGTTTAAATGAAGACCAGAAAGTTTTATGAATTGGATGTTCAAATGTTCATCACAGCCTTACCCACTTAGAATATAATCTAAAAATGAACATGTGCTGGTTGAAATGTTGAGCCGAACGTTTACCTAAAACAAAAATTGGAGCGCATTTACACATACTGTTACACCAACGCATTGACCAATTTGCTTTCAGCCAAAATATCACATGGAAATTTGGATTTAGTTAATGCTAATTTGGTAAAGTGAAGAATGTGTTAAATTGTTAGGAAATGAAAATTCGTGAAAATTTTTAAGTTAATTGTGCAAATATTTGATAATGCCATAACTTTTTGCACTTAGTTTATAAAATGTTTTTGATGTCATCAACACCGGCATTAACGTATGCATTTTTATGCCGTTCACTCTGTCTACAACAGGTAAATAGCTTTTTAGAATTATTATACAGTAGGTTTTAAAATATATCTCCTTCTCGAGCTTTAAAGCATTGTGGCAGTGGTCAACGGATGCTTTTGATCACATCAGCTTGCGGATGCGCGAAATTATTTTTCAAAAGGCATTCAGAAAAAAAATGTTTTTAGAATATGAGTGCATAAAACACTTCGCATGTTATTACGTTTGGTCTAAGTTCCTAGATTTAAATTTTTCTGAGCAATACAATAAACATGCCGGTTCAAATAAAAGAACATTTTAAAAGGGATTATCTTTATTACCACCACCAAGCGACACTTGCGTAGAAATGTACTTAAGTATGATTGACTCCATAAATACGGTGATTTAAAAGGTTAAAGTGAATTAACAGACGGTTGCTACTTGGTAACCTCCTATTAGGATGTGATGTGTCAAACCTATTTGCGACAATTTTGGCATAAATCGAAAGATAAAAATGTTTGCAAAAATGCGCAAATTTTCTGTGGTAAAACTTACTATTCCGGAGTTATTGTAGAACTTTTTTCGTTTGCACTTGGCTCGATTTATAAGCTTTTTAAAAAAATCAAAACAGTGGTTACAAAGCGGTCTAACTGCTCGTTGTATTATAAGATAGTCGAGAACATGCAGTAAACTCTCAACAAAATATTTCAAGCATACAAATCTTGCTTAAAGTTATTCTGAGAGAGGACACCAAATGTCATTTCTGATAAATATCTGGTACATCAGTCAGTATATTTGGAGTAAACGACAGAAGCACATGATAAACGTAATCTAGTAAACGGTCGGTTTTTGAGAAACTGACATGGCACGAAATGTTCTCAATAATATTAAATAGCATAAAGATCAACGGAGCGATACATCAGAGATGAGGATTTCAAAGAAAAAAACGTACCTCAAAGTTAATGCCTTCGGGCTGACTGGATAACAGCTGACGTGTTGTGATGTTAAATTCTCCAATAATATCACTAATAATGCAATACATTTACCATAAGTTGTATCTGTCTAACAGTAACGAACTCAAGATGTTCATGCCAGATAATCGAAATGTTACCCAAGGTTTTCCAACAATCCATTGACTGTTTCATTGCGTTAGTTCGAGAAGCCATTAATTTTAGCTTGTCATAGTTGATAAACCAAGTCAGCAAATAAAAAAAGCTGACATTTGAGGCAATAAGTTGGACACTACCGAGAAGGCTTCTGTCGCAAGTGTACCATTAAAGTTTGGGCAAAGCGACCTGTTGATTAAGTGTAAAATTTTAAAAACTCAAGCTAATGAATAGGTTTAACCTAAAAAGTGTTTCCGCAAAAGACCTTCGAATAATTTATATCATGTTTTTATATGGCCGAAGACAATCTGTGCAGAAACTGATAAGAAGCTCACGTTAATTCAAACCAAAAATCAGAGAGCGTGGGACATTCAAACGTTTTTTTTAATAAAAATGTCATTGTGAAGTAGCCAAAGCTAACTGGCATGGCCTCATTCTAGTTGCAAAAACATGAATGCTGCCGATTTATGCAATTATGTTTCTGGCCTGTTTTTCAGTATGCAACTGGACAGGGAGGTGACGCAGGGCATATTTTATCTGCATATCCTTGAAAATACTTATGCATATTTAGGTGATATACCTTTGCAAATCGCTTCGTCTATTGGGCAGCACGAGATCTAACAAACTGATCATAGTATTCCGATAACCTGGGACCCAATTGAATTTTTATTAAAAATGGCCCTCCATATAAGCATGCCAAATTGTAGGATAATAAACTCACTCGATGTCAGGGTCTATTTTATCCCTAAATTGAGAAAACAGGAATTTTGACGTAAGGAATATGCCTTCGTGAATTTTGGCATGCATGTTAATTAATAAAGCAGAATAATAGACATTAAATGATCTAAAGGATAGAGTGTGTCCGAATGATTTAAATTAACGTATGAACAACATGCAAACCTGGAGCTCGGAAATTCCTCTAGACAGAATTTTTATGCGGTAATTTTTCTCAGAGGCACCATGAAACCACTGACCAGTAGTGACTAAATCAAATGATCACTGTTTCTGTAGCTCAGAAATGAGAATTTGTTTGATGTGAAAAAATTTCCATGGACCACTTACGAATCGCCCTTGGCACCATCCCAGTCAAAACAGCGAAAGCATAATTCACTAAAACAAACAAAGTTAGGTTTTGTCGTAAAATGTACAATATTCGTCGAAATGTTAAACCAACAGTTATTGGTAACCTTAACCAAGCTGCCCTGTTTGCACACCGAACTCCAGAACTATGTTTAAAACAGTATTTTGCAAGAAGTCAATGATCGAATATTAAATCCTACACAGAGGATAGCATTGAACAAATGAGCGTAACTGCGATATCTTATTCGTTCAAACTCACAATCTTCCAGTAAAAATTCATAGTAAAGAATCGCAAAGGCCTGTAGCGCATATACAATTTCTGTGTGTCCCAAAAACGTACTTCCTTTTGCTAGAGATTTTTTATACATCATACATTTCAGTTAACTGATATGGTGCCAATTTAGTCTTGCATACATATCATTTTTATAGGGGCACACTGTGATTCTTCTAGAAAATATTTCTCTCTTACTCTAAAATTATTCGAAAATTCTTTAACCTCCTGGTTACGAGCTTGCATGTTACACGATCATTTACTTCCTAAGATACAGCGATAACGGTAAACTGCGTTTGGTAGCAAATGTCCGTACTAAAATTTATCATGCAAATATAGTATTCGGGTGCTGTTCTAGAACGCTAACCTAAGAAAACTCCGTTGTCTAGTCAAGTAGATTAGGTATATGCAAAGGACAGCCGTTTGGTTTTAAAAAAGCTGTTTAGACGTTGAAGCAAAAAAGCTGAGGAATATGACCAGACAGTTAGAACTGGATTTCAAGTCGAAATCTGCACATAAGGGGGTACTTTGTATCAAGATACCGACCTTTTATTACTGTAATCGATGCCGTCCTAGCCTTTCCTTATAAGACGCCGTACCTTATTTTACTCAAATACTGTGTTATAATCTTAAAATCAATTGGTAGACGACCATTGTCCAGCAGAAATTAAAATGTGTACAATGTCCAATAAGAAGCGAAAAAAGATGTTCAGAATTGCTGTCATTCTTTTGTTTTTAACTCAGCGTACTTTAGAGCCCGATATTAAAATTATTATGTTGACTGATAATCGTACGAGTGAAAGGAGCATATACGTACCGGAAATTTAGCCTCATGCTGGTGGTTCTTACGCGAACTAACTCAGTTTTCAACAAATTTGACGGTTTTTAGTGCTGAAGACTAGATTAAATGAAACACCTAGGTTTCCATCTAAACCTATAATTAGATCTTATGACATATTCCAGCAGGAATAAAAGTCGTCAGGTGGGTAAGAGACGTGGTCTAGCATAGGAGTCTGATTTTTGGGAGGAAATATAATTAAGAGGACTTTCAAACTATTACACCACATGTGGTTGTCCATTAGACGCGCAAGATACGAGCCGCAGGCAACTGCTCAAAATGCTTAACCTCCGAGTTAAATTATTGAATTCTTGATGCATATAATAACATTAAATCACAAATGACTGTGGGCAGCTGTAGAGGCTACGACGAATGATATAATCTTCTTGGACCGCACAGAACGATGACGCATTGTTGTCTAGGGTTGAAGAAGAAGAAGAGGCTTCTCGATACGGTTTCCTATCGTCAAAGCCCGCCATACTAGTTATAATCCGCCAGCCTAAGGCATCGATTCGTCGCCGTTTGGTGCTACTTCACCGAAACCTCGGAACCTGTCCATAAATTAAGTTGTAATAGGTGAAAACTGAAAATGCATTAGAGAAGGCCGAAGAAAAGTGCAGACCCGTCTGTGCAAGCACAAACTGTCAACTCGGAGCCTAGACCCAAACTCTCAGGCTTCAATGTGCATTAAAGGATCTGGCTCTAGTTTGATCATCGGAGAGCAGCCATCTTAGGTCGAGGCAATTCAAGGCCAAAACAACTGGCATTTGAGACATGGTACTTAGGGATAAACAATACCGGAAATTTTTGCAACATGCCCAGTCCTGCGTCCTTGCGTCTAAATAAATTAAGACTGTGCGGTCCAACAGGACTTAAGAAAACCGCAGAGACAGCCTGACAACGAACTTTCCCGACGTGGGAGAAAAAGAGCCACCAACCTGGACGGCCCACGCAGATGCTCCGCCATCATCTATTGACGTAATGATAGCAACGCATGCAGATACCAAACCCGCCACACATTCGCCGCACGGCCAAAGGAAGAAGCAGTTCTCTCGGTTCACCGTCGACTAGCTCGGCGTGCCACTTACATTTCTGTTCGACTAAGAGCATTTTGCGTTTGAAAATAATGATCTGACCAAGCTTTCCAAGACGTTAGCAATTTAAAAAATCTTCTCAGATGGGCCTTTCCAATTTCTGGAATAATTATTCCAAATGCCTCAACTTTGCCAGTCTGAATAAATATGATTTTGCTCTCATAATTACTAAAGATGTCTTTGGATATGAATCTTGGTGTGATGAGGAAATGCAGCGACTCCTTTCAAAACGTATTTGATTACCAGCGAACGCAAACATTGCAAACTTCGACGTTTGTCGCCACAACATTAAATGGGCTCTTAATTTAAGCAAAACCTCCCGCAAACGATCACTTGTTTGTCTTTTACATACTTAAAGATTTACGAATGTGCAAATTTCCATTTGTAGATTGACCTCAGCGTTCATACTTTGTGCCATTTTCACTGGTGGCGTGCAACAGAGTAAATACAGAGCAAAAATATCACAGGGTTTTGTAATAGAGCTTCTTACTCCTATAAAACTGTGAAATATGTGAATTTAAATAAGTCACACCCAAGAAAGCAATCGTTTGCTTTTGAGTTTAACTTCTGCAGGCTAACTTTCTTCTAAGTGCTGAAAGTTCTGGTCACTAAATAAAAGAGAATAAAGGTAAGGCTCCGAAACAATAATAAATCTACTAACTAGCAAAACAATGTCGAGAAATGAAAGTAAACAACTCCATACGCATAAAAGCAAAACCCCATGAGTCGTGACAAAACACTACTTTCGCCTGCTAGGAAAAAGTCGTTAAAGACGTTCAAAGCAGTTTAAGGCTACCCATTAACTGACTTAATCAATACAAAAAATATCTGAAAATCAACAAACACTTTTGTTAGCGTATTTACGGGTCAGTGTATTTCAGCGGACAAAGTAAATAATTTAGCATTTTTTTAGAAAATACCTTTCTAAATCACCCTCGCATAGTCCGTCCAACGATATAAGAATTGGCTTCCAGTCGGGAGTTAGAGACTTCTTTATAATTTCGCTTTGGTAGCAACGAATCCATCTGCGCAGCAACCAAACATGAAAAAGACATGTTTTAGGCGAAGTAGTGTGAATTTAATTGAACATTCTCGGTAGCTAAAAGGTCGTTTAAGGTCGTATAGTTTTGTCCTAACGTTAGTTATATAGATTTCTAATCTACTTGAAAAATTGATCCGGGAAGTTTTACCAAAAATTCATGAGCCGAAGGCGAGCTATCACTGTCATCGAGAATCTTTATCAGCATCCAAAACGGCAAACGTCTTGCTGTTGTTAATTTGGGGCTCCGCAATTTTTAATCACTAACTCTGGCTTTCTTAATGGTTTTTGCATGCTTGTGAGTATATTGATTCAAAATTATGGTGTGGTTCTCCTGAAAGAGATATATTGGCAAAACGGAATATTGTCTTATATAAATACTTTTAACTGCCACAAAACACTGAAGTTTCCTTAAGAAAAAACAGGCAACTAAAAAAAGTAAAACGCGATCTTCTTACTTTCCTCTTACATTCTTTTTGAGAATAAGAATGTATGGATCAGATTTTCCGAATAAATCTTTTTTGTCCAGTCCTTCTCCATGCATTTTAAGGACAATGTTTTCCTTCGAAAGATAAAAAGCACATTTTTACAAATTGAACAATTGTATTAGGCCA